ATCAAACTACCACCAACATAACTCATAGATCTAGAGAAATCAATCCTAAAATTTATTTGGAACCAGAAAAGACCTAGAATATCAAAGGCAGTCCTGGGCAACAAGGACAAGGCTGGAGGCATTACAATTCCTGACTTGAGATTATAATACAAAGCTACTGTGATAAAATCAGCATGGTACTGGCAACAAAATAGACCTGAGGATCAATGGAATAGATTAGAAGATGCAGAAGCCTGTAAGAACACACTCGGTCACCTTATCTTTTACAAAGGGGCCAAACATGCTTACTGGAATAAAGATAGCCTATTTAACAAATGGTGCTGGAAAAACTGGCTTTCCACATGCCAAAAACTAAAACTTGACCCAGGTCTACCACCATGCACTAAGCTAAAGTCAAGATGGATTGAAGATCTAAACATTAAAACAGAAACACTAAATCTCTTAGAAGAGAAAGTAGGAGGAACTCTTGAAGACATAGGAGTAGGCAAACAGTTCATGAACAAAAATCAAATCACATGGGTAATACTTGAAAGAATTAACAAATGGAACCTCCTCTTATTGAGAAGTTTTTGCACATCAAAAGAAATTACCAACAAAGTGAAAAGACAACCCACAAATTTGGAAAAAATCTTAATTAATAAACCCTCAGACAAAGGTCTGTACTCTAGAATTTATAAAGAACTAAAAAACATTAGCACCCCAAAATTTAAAGACCCAATCCAGAAATGGGCATTCGAGATGAACACACACTTCTCAGAGCATGAAATTAGAGAAGTGAATAAATATATGAAAAATGCTCCACATCACCAGCCATCCATGAAATGCAAATTAAAACAACACTGAGATTCCATCTCACCCCAGAAAGAATGGCTATCAAAGAAATGAAACAACAAGAAATGTTGGAGAGGCTGTGGGGAAAAAGGAACCCTTCTCCACTGCTGGTGGGAATGTAGACTGGTGCAACCATTATGGAAATCATTGTGGAGACTCCTTAAAACCTAGGACTGGAAATCCCATTCAAACCAGCTATCCCCCTACTGAGAATTTTCCCAGAGGTACTGAAAACATCATATCATAGTGATATATATGCACCTGTGTGTATAGCAGCACAATTTGTGATAATCAAATCTTGGAAACAGCCAAGATGCCTGTCACCTGAGGAATGAATGAAAAATATGTAGTTTTTTTATACAATGGTGTATTACTTAGCTATAAAGAATGATAAAGTCAAAGGCTTTATATATAAGTGGATGCCAGTTGAAGATATACTCATAAGTGAAATAAACCAGACCCACATATGTAAATATCATATAGTCCCTCTAGTGTAAGAACTGAAAAGAAGAAATAAAAATAGAAAGGTATAATACAATGAAAAGGAAAGCAAGAACTTAAAGATTAAAGAACAAAGAGAAGGCAAGGAGAAAAGCTAGGAAACATGACAGGGGCAAAGGCTTATGTTTATATGCACAAGATGGGTAAGGCAACGATCCTGAGAATTTTCAGCAGGTTTGTGGAACTAGCAGTTAATTGGTAGGGTTGTCAACCTGACTAAAGTATATATGCTGATACCTGTGAACTAAACAAGGTATTGAAAATAGCAATGTGTAATACTAGGATCATGATTGGAATGCCTGTCATTCTGGTTTTTAAAATATATACTGCTTGTCATGTAATGCAAATTACTGCTATACTGTCTCTCAAGTAAATATTTGTTTAAAAAAGGGTGATAAATGAAAACAAAAGACAAGAAAAAAATGTCACAGGACTGTCCTGCTACAATGGTGTATATGGTTAGAGTTCTAAATTTCTGTATAAAAATATGTAATTGCTTATTCCTATTTTAAAAAATATTTTTAATTGTTTCTTTACATTCTGTAGGGATTTAAAGTTTAACATATGAATACTTGATGAAAATACCTGTTTCATGTTATGTCTAAGATGTTTGATATTCAGACAGATAGTGAGGTTAAGCTCAACTGCCTATGTTACAGGGTAATAATATCATTAAGCTTCTCTTCTGTAGGGTTAACAACTTAAGTTTGCAGACTAAAAATTAGTAAAAAGAAGGGCTGCAAGGACAGCCAACATTTTGGCCCTAGCCTTTCAAGATCAGTGAAAACTCAGGACATAGGAGAACCTGTACTGTAACACCCTTTAACTAAGGGGTGTCCCAAATTTTCCAATCAAGGAGATTATGGAGCCGTAGAAGAATGTGATCGACAATGTAGAGTGTTCTTAAGGAGAGTCACATGGAGAGAAAATATTCTTTCAGGCTTTCACAGAGAGCAAATTGGTCAAGCAATGGCCATGACTCATCCACATGGCTGACACTGACTAAGGATCTACAAACTGCTGTACAGGGTTTCAGGGTAAATCCTGAGAGGATTTGACTGAACTTGTCAGATCCAAAAGTTACATTTCTTTTTATACAGGTCTTGTTTTATCTTGGTCTTCACTATCCAGCAGAAAAGTATAAAAATGAGGTTTAAAAAGTGAGTCCATGTTAACATCCTGAGCTGTAACAGGCTCAAGTCAACAACTTCTGACACTGTCATTCCTACAAATAACCAACTACTACTATGGGCTAGCGGACTATATTGGATTATTTTGCTGAATTCACATACCTACAGTATTTAAATGGCAATGGAATACCCATCTCTGACAAAACTAAACAAAAAAGGGTGATACAAATGAAGGAATTTGTATCTGTATATACAAAATAGTTAGGATATATAGCTACTTTCTCTTAATTCAATGAGAAGAAAGATTTGTACTAATAGTGTTTTGACAGGATATCATATATGCATCTTGTACTATGAATAACCACTACAAAGACAACAATATAGGATGTATTAATAATAATTATTGAAACTGTCCCAATAATTGGTTTTGAAACTGTCTCATTGCTGTGTTTGTTTCTCAATAAAATTAATTTAAAAAAGAATAATAAAAAGAGGCAGTTTCTTGTATTTCTTGTTTGTGGAATGAAAAGCAATCATTTCATACATTCTCACTTGTTTCTATGCCTACTCTGTCACACGTATGCACACCCTCCCATACACTTTCCTATGATTATTCTTTTGTTCATATATATTTTCTTTCTGGACTTTACATTTTTTTGATGAAATTTGTGAAATTTCCTCCCACAAATATGGATGCTTTCCCTGCCTGTAATGGAGTCAAGTCATTACAAGCAAAAATGTCTATTCATCATGTAAGTCATTACAAGCAAAAATGTCTATTCATCATGTAACTTTCTCCTAGGATGGAATTTTTGAGACAGGGGTTCACTATATAGCTTAGGTTAACCTCAAACTCATGGAGATCCTGCTGCCTCAGCCTCTCAAGTGCTGGGATTACAAGCATGCATCATCATGTTGGGCTCCTAAGAGGGATTTCTTTCTTTCTTTCTTTCTTTCTTTCTTTCTTTCTTTCTTTCTTTCTTTCTTTCTTTCTTTCTTTCTTTCTTTCTTTTTGAATTTCTTTTTTTAAAGTTAGAAGCCAAAGTTGTGTCTTTTGGTATGTTGTGCTCCACATATATCACACTTTTGTGTATCCAGGAAAAGTGTCTCTTAAAGTTTGTATTGCTATTCATTAATAGATGTTGAGGTCAGCTGAGTGGATTGTGACCACATCTAAAAGATGAAAACAGGGGCTGGGAGATAGGTCAGTAGAATAAGTGCTTGCCTGGCAAGCTCAAGGTTCTGAATTCAATCTCCAGTACCACAAACAAAACAAAACAAAACAAAACAAAAAATAAAAGATGAAAACAGTGGAAAAATATGGGCAATTATGTGTATGTTGTATCACAAAAGGCTATGCATTATTGACAAAGTGTTTCTGTTATGTTTATGTGTTGCATAATATATAATATAATTTTACTCTCATGGCTTAAAAGTTTAAAATTTAATATTTAGCATATATACGTTAAATGTTAAAACACTAGCAAAAATATGCACATTAGGACAGAATCCTACTTTATATTGTACAGCTATTATTCAAGTGCCTGTGTTCAACTTGGTTTCATTCTGGCTTTGTAACATTTGTACTATTACTAAAACATCTGCAAAATTACAGTGCCACAGTCCAAAATTCTGTGAGTAGCAATATTATCAGTAACCTTCAGAATTTATAGCACAAGTAAGGTAGCCTTAGTAAGAAACTGGTCTCCTTTTTCCTTTTCCTCTTCTCTCTCTCCCCCTCTCTTTCTTCCCCTCTTCTTCTCATTTTTTTTTCCTACCATAGAGATAAAACCTGGAGTTATTCCACTGTATGATACACACAGCACTTCTCCTGCCTTTTCTAACCAGGATTTGAACTTTACAGTATCATCCTGTATGATTTTAGGTATATTTTCAATTCTGATAAAATTATGTTAAAAATGCAGTAGATTTAAAAGTAGCACCATAGTTGAAAATAGCAATCATAATTAAGCTACAGAATGACAAACAGCAAATAAATAAATTCTTTAAGATTTAAATTATTTTCAAAGATTTATTTTACCATAAGCATAAATGTGGGCGCAACTTCAACTGGAGAGAGGGATATGAAAAAAGATGAATTTTGTCTAACTCAGGAATTCCTACAAAAACAAAACACTCACAGAACAGCAAAGCTGGGGAGACTTGATATTGGGGTATATTTCAGTGGTGGAGCACAGACAACGTGGGCTCAAAGTTCCATCACCAGCACAATATATTTTATGTGGCTTTTTTGTTTGTTTTTTTATACAAGGTCTCAGTAGGCAGATAGAAGTAATAGTGACCCGCCTATTTTCAGCCAACTCCCCCAGGGCTGGGATTACAGCCGTGTGCCACCACGCCTGGACTCGATCTATGGCCCTGTGTGCCCGGAGTCAGGGCCAGAACGGTATGTGCAGCCAGGGATCAAACCCTGGTCCCTGCGCCTGCTTAATCCTCTGAGTTAACTCGTTGGCCCTACCAGCGCAATTATTAAAAAGGAAAATCGGAGTCTCATACGTTGTAAAAAGCTACATGTAATGCGCAAATCCCATAATAAAAGAAAAGCAAAGCTACATCTCACACTTAAATGTTCTATACGAAATCAAATTCTGTATCTGCGTAACTTAGGGATAAATGGCACAGAACAGCATCACAATCCGATCACTACTGAAATCCAAAACTATTTCGGATATTAACATTTCCTTCTGTGTCTTTGCCAGTACTCCGGGATGGAGGGTTGGGGAAAAATGGCTTTAGGAACTTAAACTCATCTATCCCAGAACCTCCAGAGAGACACACCTCATACTGGTAGGACTGCGACAGCGTCCCCGTGCCGCTGACGTCCACCAGGTGGGCAGGGAAGGGGCCCTCGGGCGCCGCCGAGCACACCCCCAGCGCGGCCGGCCCGCTCCTCCTGCACAGCCTGAGCGCCACGAAGAGCAGCAGCGACAGCAGGAAGAGCGACGACACGGCGGCCAGCGCCACCACC